AATCTTCCAAAACCTATAAATGATCCAAATTTCGAAAAAGAGCTTGAAGAATTAACGGAATCTTTTTCTCACTTAATTACTAGTAATTATCAAATTTATATTTTATTTATTTATATTCATTTTTTATCTCATAATTATATTAATTTAATCAATTTTTATTTATATTTAGATGATGATATTGAAAATTTTTAAATATATTAAATATTATTATACAATAAAATCGATTGATTTTGTTTAGAGTCAAGAGATAATTTATATTTATAAAGTCTTCAGATTAAGTATAGAGCATATTTTGTATGAATTAATTTATCTAATAATAAAAAGCCAATTATCAATGTTATTTTATCATATGAATTTTTTTAGTAGTCCATTTGTTTAAATTTTATTCAAATAAAAAAAAATCAACTTAAAAAATATAAGATTATTCCGATATTTAAGTTTTATTAAAAATCGATTTATACAGTAAATTAAAAATTCAAATATCATATTTGTTAGCTAAATAAATTTAATTTTCATCAATGATATTAATTATTATTATAATTAATTATCATCTATATAATTTTTTCTTTAAAAATTTAAAATTAAATAAATATAAATAAAACTATATTTTATTCATTGAAGAATAATAACTTGATTTTATTATTGCTGTGTTGCTTACATTATTATAGTTATCATTACCAATACAATATGCTAATTTATGCTAATACAGTAAGCTTTAAACTTTAATAAAAATATTTAATACTATGTAATGTTAAAATGAGCTTATATCTTTGATAAAAATAAATAATTATATATATTTGTCTTCGATCTTTAATACTAATCATAAATTATTTTAATATCTTCAATATTCATTTAGTTAAAAATATAACAAGAAAATATATTATATAATACTTATTTGATATTACAATCATTATTATCTAATAGAAATAATTAATTAAAATTCAAATACTTATAAACTATTCATTATCTTTTTATAATTAATTGTCTCGTCATCATACTAACAATTAAATTGAATTAAGAATTCAATAAAATTATTTTTTATTTGTTGTTTATTCTTTCGATAAAATTTTCAAAAAAAAATAAGAATAAATTAAATAAAGTACAAAAATGATAAATCAGGTCGATTATTTAACACTTACCGTCATCTTTTCATAATTCCTTAATTCTCATCCATTTTAAAGAAAATAAATACTGTACATATAAATAAATAAATCAATTTTGATGCTCGGATGAATAGGTTCAAAAAAAATGTCTTAATAATTTTTTTTTTTTTAGTAAATAATTTTTATTTATAAAAATATTTTTATTATTTAATACCAATAAATTGATCTAGTTTTTCACTCGTAATTAATAATAAAATTAGATATATAATATTTAATTAATTATTCATCAATTTACAGATATTTATGCTTTAAAAAAAATTACCTATTTTTTATAATTCAAATAATGAGATCTCATCCATAAATTTTTGTTATAATAAATATTTAAGTGTTACAAAATTTTCAATATAAAATATCTATTATTATTATAATATTTTGAAATTTATAATCTAATACTACACTTTTTTTTTTGATTATGTGTTAATCTAATAAACGACAAAATAATTTTAGCTTAAATTTAAAGTTTAAATTAAATTAAATTTAATAATATATTTTACAAACTTATAACAATTCCAATTCCTTCGTATTTTTATTATTTATTATTTATTCATTGCATTTTTTGTTATTATTGATTTATTCTAAATGCTTATAAATTTTTTTAACAGATTAATTAAATTTTTAGCAAAGGTTTGATTAAAATAATTATTAAATTTTTATCAGTTCATTAATATTATCTTTGGAAAAGAAAGTCGATTTTTTATAAATAAAATGAATTCAATAAATACAATGTGAATAATTTTTTTACCTTTAAACAGACTTGTTTCTTATTTTAACAAACACATTCCAAATGTCATTTCTCTTCTAGAAACTTCTTTTATTTTAATGTATCATTTTATTAACTTATACTTTTCGTTTTCTATATTTAAGAATAATAAAATCATAATAAATGTTTAATAATGATCACTTTGTTCTTCAAAATGTTAAAGATCTATAATTTGAAACTTCTTTAGAACTCAGCTTATTCTTGTTCCTGACTTGCGATCTTTTTACTTTTACTTTTTAAAGAGCCATCAAATGAGGTAGTACTCAAATATCATATGAATATCAAAATTATAGTACTTTGTTTATAGCATTTTATTTATTCTAGTTTTTGGTACATTTAAAATTGGATCATACGAAAAACATGTTGGATCAATCTAACTGAGCTAATTTCCTACAACGATTTCGTGTCCAAGTCATATTAATCACCGGATTTTACAAGAAGTGGCTTGACTAAAATGTGCTTTGGAAGAAAAGATTTTTAGAAGTTGTCAATAAAATGATAATTTTTTAACTTTGTTACTAATGTAAAAGAGTATAGGCAATTTATAAATACACTTTCTTTCCCGGTATTACTTCATATAATATCTCTATTAGAAGTACATTAGATTTCAATATTCAGGCTGAATACTATTACTATCCTCATAAACTTTCTTTCAATATTCACTTTCTATTGATCATCCATTTTCATGAATTGATTAATTTCATTTATTAAATATATTCAAATTTTTTTTATAATATTTACATACCTTCAACATGGCTTCTCTTTTTGAACCAAATTTACCAAATTTTAAAACATGTTGAGTTTTGTCATTATTTATAAAATACTTGAATGCGTGTCTACAATTGAAGAGTAAAATGATCTTTTTTCCGCTTTACATATACTACGTTTTATGCTTTCTAAAAATAGGTATTTACAGTTCGATCTGCACCTTGAATATTTACGTATTAGAGAAAAGTAATATAAAGATGTAACTTGTTATATGCTCATAATATTATCATCCAAAAAACTCGATCTACAGAGTACGTACTCAAATAAATATCTCGCGAATTGTTTCACGATTTTCTTTTTCGCAAAAAGTTGGCCTCAGGGCCCAAAGGTTACATTACATATAATGCTGTGCTGCCGTTACTCATGCATAATAAATAATAAAATTAAATTCGTCTGCAAATTTATTTATTGTTTATTTTTTTTTTTTTTTAAAAAAAAAAAAACCTTCTACCTTACATACTATAAGTGAACAAAAATGGTTCATTATATATGCCCAGAATGCAACCACGAATATAATGGTTTGTGGTGCAAACTATGCAACTCAAGTAGAAATGAAATAATAGATAAATTCATTCAAGATGCTCAACTAAATGTATAGAGTAACAGAATGGATACCTTATTCATAGATTTCAAGGTATCAAAGAAATTGCAAAAGGTGGTTTTGGTACTATTTATTACGCTGAGTGGATTGATGGATTCATTAAAAATTAGGATATTAAAATCAACAATGGAATAGAGTAGGTCAACAAAAAGTGGTATTAAAAAAGATTGATGGTATTGGAGATATTAATTAAGATTTCGTAAATGAGTTAAAGTAAATAATATGAAAATTTATTTGAAAATATATATTATATTAATTATTATAAAAAAGATTATTTAGATGGCAATTCACTCAAGAATAACAATGGAAACACTAATACCAACCAGATTTTACAGAATTACAAAAGATCCAGAAACTCATAAATATTTGATGGTTTTAGAATATCGAAAAGGACGGAAATCTTAGAAAATTTTTAAATAATAATTTTAAAAATATGAATTGGAACGATAAAATATCTTTAAAAGATTTAGCATTTAATTTAAAATAATTCACGAATTCGATATACAGTCGACTTCCCTTATAGGCACACCCCCTCGGGACCAAAAATAAGAAGTATGATTACAATGAAAAGTGGCTATATGGATGAATTTTTATATAGAGTTACCAAGTATTGGTTCCAAAGAGTGTGACCATAAAAGTCCTGTGATTATAGAAAGGGTTTTTGCATAGCATTAATAGGTATTGGTCTTTACAAACAGGTGTTCTTATAACGGGGATTTATATTATGTGATTATAAAGGAGGTACCTATAGAGGACGTCAACTGTAATTTATCATTATTTCCACCCTGGAAATATTTTATCACATAATATTATATTTTACGAATTTTAGATCTTGGGTTAAGTAATTAATTGGGAAAAATGTAGAAAATCCTCAAAAAAGAAATGTTTTCGGAGTATTGTCCTATATAGTTCCTGAAGTATTAGGAGGGGAAGAATATGCAAAGACTACTGATATTTATTCATTTGCAATTATTGCTTATGAAATTGTAACTGTTTTCAACCATATTCTGATGTGCCTCATAATAATGATCTGGCTTTGAAAATATGTAACGGGTTACGACTCAAATGATTAGAAATGATTAGAATTGTATGAATACTTTTCTGATTATAGATATGGTTACAGAAATAATAACAATAATGAAATTACAATTCAAATTAAAGAAGCTGAAGAATTATATGCAAATCAAACAACAATGGATACAGCTCCACTTAACTATAAAACTCATCCATAAGCAATTTATGCTAGTAGACTACTCAATTACTCAAATCTTCTAAAATCTAAGAATGAAGAAAAATTTTGAAAAAGAACTTGAAGAATTAACAAAATCTTTTTCTCATATAATTACTAGTAAGTATTAATTATATATTATATTTTTTATTTTTTTTTTATTTCTTTATTAATTATTTTTTTTTATTTCTTGACTTGATTAATTATTTTTTTTTGTTTAGATGATATTAAAGATTTTTAAATATTAAAATATTTTTAATTTATTTGTAAAGATTCAATTAGATAAACTATTTGGTGGTGAAGCCAAGAGATAATTTTTATTTTTAAAATTTTAACACTAAGTATAGAGCACGAATTATCATCGTTATATTTGTCTAAATTCTATTAACTTAATTTGTAATCAGAAATTATATATATTAATCAAAAATTATATATATATATATATATATTTTTTATAGATTATACTTTTTATATAGTTCACTAATTCTCTTCATGATCTGAGAAAAAAAATGGTATCAATATTTGGTGGAAATAGTACTGTGATATAAATAAATAAATGAAAAAAAAACTATAAATAACTATAATGAAATACCAAAACATCAATTGAATCTAATCAATTTTATATTCATTAATTTAAAGTATGTAGTCGATATATTTATTTTTTTATTTTATTTTAAATGGAATTCATGAAAAAGCGCAAAGTTGTTCTCTGCTCTGAAGGCCAAAGTTACATTATATTTCTGTTATTCAATTCCATATATTGGTTTGCATAATAAATAATAAAATTATACTCAAAGCAAAACCTAATTCAAAAAAAAAAGAAAACTTCTACCTTAATACTATAAGTGAACAAAAAATGTCTTATTATATACTGTATGTGAAGAATGACATTAAAAATATAGTGGTTCGCTGTGCACACATTTTAAGTTCTATATCATAGTATATTTTTTATTAGAATAAATTTATTAATCTTTTTTTCAGCGCAAATAACAGTAGAATGAAGATAATCAAGATAATATCATGCATTCTCAAGAGGATTTGATGGTGTTAATTATATCATTGAAACATTAGTCATGATCAGAATTTTAATAATTTGATAATATACTTGATTTTTACTAAACGCCTTTTTTTTGATTAATTTATCGAATGGAATTACAAGCAAATGTTAATGATGATTTATTTATAAAACGAAATGACAAATTGGGTCGAAAACACCTTACCATCCATCTTCTCATGATTCTTTAAAAGTTGGTTTATCCTTAAATTGTATTGTCGATTTACTCATTATTATTTTTCTATAAAAATTTATTGCATTAGTATTAAATTAAAGATAATATATAATTAAGATAAACGTTGTATAAAATAAATAATTACCTTTTCACTTTGATTTGACGCTAATCATATAGGTCCAAAAAAAAACCCCCTGTCCCGAAGATAAATAATTTTTATTTTAAGAAAATAAATTTATAATTATTATTTACTCACGAATGACTTGGTATAATTTTTTCACTTAAATTTTTTCATCTGATTTTAATTCTTCATATAAATAAAATTTGATTAATTTACAACTTGTGTTAATCTAAATAAACAATAAATTCTATTATAAATTAAATTTAAATTAATAATAATACATTATTTTTATTATTTTTATTTTATTATTTTTATTATTTTTATTATTTTTATTATTTTTATTATTTTTATTATTTTTATTATTTTTTATTATTTTTATTATTTTATTATCGTTATTATTTTTTATTTTTATTAATTTTATTAATTTTATAATCATAGGATATACAGGTGAACGTATTAATTATTAATTTTATTATTAATAAAAATTACTATTTTAAGCTTTCGAATGATATATTAAACATGTTATTTCGTACAACCGTTGTAAATCAATGCGCAGTCAATTTAGTGCAAAGATTTCTGTACCTCTTACCATTAAGACCGTTATTTAGCCGAACATGCGGGCTTGGTGTTTCTTTCTTTATTTTTCTCATTTCAATTTTTTTCAGTACATCATACAGTCAGGGTTGGGAATAATCAATTCGTACAAATCCTTCTTAAATTTACTTGGAAAGCAAGATAAACTTGTACAGGATGAAAAATTCCAATCCTGCAGATAGTCGTCCCGTTATAGTCACCTCCCCTTCTAATAAAAACCATAACGTGTTCAGTCATTTTTATAGCCATCCATATTTTCTTTTATATCCAGAAATTGTTTCGAACTAGGATCACATTGGATCGCTTGCTTCAATCGTTTTTATAATCTTAGCGGACAGATTGTTTGCTGCGAAATCCAAAGTTGATAAAAATTCTAAAATTTGTAAACAAATTAACTTAAACGCGAAAAAAGCGCGAGTTAAATATTATCACACCAACCAATAAAATTTGCAATCAAAAAGCTAGACCCGTTTTCTTTTGTGAAGTGTTTTGGTAAACTAGTATTCACTTATTTTTCACTTTTCAAAGCACAGCGGTTTACTCAAGTAGAAAAAACTGGGTTGCTCGTTTGTGTTCTGCGGACGTTTTTAAAACACAATCCCTGCGCAAGTGTCTGCTAGGCATAAAGTTGAAGGTGGGAAAAAACTCTATTATTCATCATGATTAGCAGAGATCTACACTTGGGAGTATGTCTGCTAATGACTCGACGTTTATCAAATGATACGCTTCAAAGCAGGCTGTGTTTCATTCTATACTTTTATTTCACATCAATTAAAGAATCTGGATTGACGATTAATCGAGTTGATGAAATATATTCCCCAATAATGAACAAGTATATGATAATAACTTGAAGAGCAATTAAAAGAACCAATGATAAATTCAATATTTCGTCTTGCAAAACGTAACGACAATCCCGAAGTCGTGAACGAATTCAAAATTGAAAACGTCTGTCTTCAATTTGTTTCCTCAGCATATTTACCTTATAGCATCAACTCTAATATTCAGTAGCTTACCTTATAATATAAATATTATTAAAACTTAACTCGAGAATATCTAATAGCGCCCTATAATTTTATTAAACAAATTAGTCAAAATAAGAAGAAACATATCAATATAGTTTAAAACTTTAGAATCTAAATGTGTCTTAACCCCCCGGGACCCGATATTATTTAACATAATTATCCCCCATTTTACAAACAAAAAAACTTTTCTATTTTAATTTTTCTTTTTATTCGATTATACTATTTCTATCTGTGTTAATACTCATAAATATATATGTATAAGATTAATTAATTAAGAATTACCTCCTTAATTCCCGATTTTCCTCTATAATACAGTGTCATAATAATAAAATACTCTAAAAATCCCATCTTCATTCTTTTAGTATGATTTCTTAAAATTCGAGAAGCTATCGTATGATTTTTTTAAAAAAATTAAATTAAATTAATTAAAGAATCGAAAAATCATAAGTAAAAACAACCAACATAAATTATAAACGCATTTTTACTATATCAACCTTGCCTCGCTTTTAATATTGACATTTACCGTATTATTTTCATTAATGATCTAATAATTACTAATTTGATTAATAAATTTAATTCAATTATTAATACCATTAATTTAATTCAATTTAATTCATTAATTATTTTGATTAATATAATTGTAACCTTAATCTCCAAGTGACATGCTAGAACATTTAATGGATACAATCTCGGACATGAAAATAATATTTATTATTTAAAATAAAGTGTCGTCGAGCTTCAATCCTTGATCGAATTCTTATCTATATAAGCAACAATTAATTTTTGTTTAAATATTAAAATATAAAATAAATTATTAAAATTAATAATATAAACTTATGTCTATATAAAAAATTAATTTTAAAATTTCGAAAAAAGAAACAAAAGTATTGTTACGGTGACTTGAATTCCACAATATCTTTTGGAAAAGAAAGTTTCAACGTTTGATTATTTATGTAGACGATATTTACCTCCTAAAAGAACTTTTGAAGAAATTTTTAAATCAAATATCTAATTTTCTATACTTTTCATTTCCAATTACTTGAGAAGAATAAATAAAGAATAGATGTTTGATATTAATCACTTCCTAATTTGGATCTGAATTTATAACTAACCGTCTTCGGACTTTTTACTTTGATCTATGTTTTCTGATTTCGAAAGTAATAAACTTTTTATATTCAGAATAATGAGTTGCAAAAACGGAATAAGCTGTATAATTTTTTTTGAAAAATATTGTACGAAAGTAAATAAAATTAGTTTAGAATAGCGGGAGGAAACTTTCATTTTTTTTTTACATTATTACTTAACTGTCCCAGTAGAGAAAATAAGTAATTGAAAAGAGGCTGGCAACCACTAAGAGATAACTCTGACTCATAACTTCACTGCCAAGGTCTGGATCAGACATGAAGCTATGGCGTCTCCATGATAAATATATCAAGGGAAGCACTCACCACCAAGGTCTGGATCAGACATGAGTAACTTCAGCAAATTCATCAGATCAACTGTTGCCGCCAAGGTCTGGATCAGACATGAAGCTATGACGTCTCCTTGGTAATATACCAAGGGAAGTTCTCGCCGCCAAGGCCTGGATCAGACCCGAGAAACTTCGGCAATAGTCGGACCCTCGTTATTCTTAAAAAACAGTTATATGAAAAGATTTACGCGCTTGATTACTTCATATTGTCACGCGAGAATACCAAAATGGGAACAGTTTCATTGTGACTTCAAAAAAGGGAATGAACATCGTTCATTATTAAAACATTTTGTGTAATGTTGAGTGAATAAACCGTTCCGTGTTCATTTATTTAAAATCCATGTTTTGAGAGGTCATTTAGAGAAAAAATAAATTAACAAGAAGCTTTTAATTAATTTATATAACATAATATACGTAATTATTATAATTATTATAATAAATGATAATTTATACATTTTTCTCTTATTTTGTAACATTTGTTCTTTCCTCTTTTGATAATTTAAACGTTCTTGCAATTTTTTCCGCGTCCAATGTTCTGAGATACTTGCCAGAGCTGTCAAAACAGATGTAATTAATTATAGCCATTCTTCTTAGGTTGTACGATGCTTGTCAGTATTGGAATGTCTTGGGTAAGATACGTGTATTGGATCTGATCGTCATCGACATCTTTTTTTTCCATTTCTTTTTATTTATTTATTTTTTTACTACTTGTCTTTGTTCTTTTTCAGCTTTTTTTTTAATGTTAAAACTTTTTAACTCACCTGCCAGTTGTGTTAATAGGTTCTATCTCAAGAATTTCTTGATAAAATATTTTTATCAATTATTATCCGTTTAAAACCTGCTGGATTCAATTCAGGACAATTTGGAATAGATCACTGATTTTTCAGTTTAATCAATTTTTTAACTAAATTCCAAAAGTATCTCGTAGTGACTCAATCTATTTTTGATGTACAATAAATTCACTAAAGAGGGTATTCATTTTTTTTTTTTTAATTTTCACTTTTGAGCTGATTTTATTTGTTGCATCGAACTAATCCTCACTATTATATTTCGGATTTAGTTAAAGATATTATTAATGTTAGTGATGATAATAATGATAGATTTATAGTAACAGATACAGTTGATGTTGATAGCGATGGTGATTTAATGATGATCAACTTAAGAATTGGATAAGCCAACCACAAGGAGAAGTTTGGAACCATTAAAAGTATTAGATGAGAATAAGTGCATGCCTTATTTATTATTTCATTCTATTTATTCTATTTTTTTTTTGTAATAAGAGCAATTGGAATATATGGGATATGTCCAAAGAAGAACGTGTAAAGTTACCGAGGAGACGTCATAGCTTCATGTCTGATCCAGACCTTGGCGGTGAAGCTATGAGTCGTTTGGCAACTAACAACTGTTGTGTCTGATCCAGACCTTGGCGGCAACAGTTGATCTGATGACTTTGCTGAAATTACTCATGTCTGCTCCAGACCTTAGCGGTGAGTGCTTCCCTTGGTGTATTTTATCATGGAGACGCCATAGCTTCATGTCTGCTCCAGACCTTGGTGGTGAAGTTATGAGTCAGAGGGTATCCAAGTTATCTCTTGGTGGTTGCCAGCCTCGTTTTAATTATATATTTTCTTTACTGGGACAGTTAAATAATAATACAAATAAAATGAAAGTTCTCTTCCGCTATTCCAAACTAATTTTCTTTATTTTCTACAATATTTTCAAAATAAATTATACAACATATTCCGTTTTTGCATCTCATTATTCTAGAATATAAGTTGATATCCTTGAAGGCTTGCAAGTGCTAGTACATGATCATTTTAGTATGTTCTGTTATCTACTCTCTCGGAATTTTGCATTTGTTCCTAAATTTGTCCACAACATCATAATTAATTTTTCAGCAGTTTCGTTCCAAGATCAAGACGTAGCTATGGTCAATAGAACTAAGGTAAAAAAAAAAAAATTATTCACATTGAATTTGTTGTGTTTATGAAATCAACTTTCTTTTCCAAAAATAATATATTGAAGAACTAATAAAATATTTTAATTTACAATACAAATTTTTTGGAAAGTTTGATTAAAATAATTATTGAATTTTAAGATATTTTCTCGAAGATTTTATCTAATTGATTTTAATTAATTTTCAAAAAAAAAATAATAATAATAATAAATAAAATAAAATTTAAAGCATTTAGAATAAATTACTTATATCAAAATGCAATGGGTCAGAATTGGTATAAGTTTGTATAATATAATATTTAATTCAATTTTTTACTTTAAATTTAAACCAAATTATTTTATCGTTTATTAGATTAACACGTAATATTAGTATTAAGTAACTTTATTAAAGATGATAATAAATATGGAATTTAAAAATAATAATTTTGTAATATATAAATAAATATTTATTATCTCAAAAATTTATGGACGAGATCTCATTATTTGAATGTCCAGAGATAATATAAATGTAATTTTTTAAAGCATAAATATCAGCAAATTGATGAATATTTAATTAAATTTAATATATCTAATTTCATTATAATATCAATTCTATAAAGAAATTAAAAACTAGATTAAGTTATATCAAGTCATCGGTATTAAAATAATAAATTTATTTATGATTTCTTTTTATTTTTATTTTTTCTTAAATAAAAATTATTTTTTTAAAAAAAAATCATTAGGACAGTTTTTTTTTTTTTTTTTTTTGAATTTATTTAATTTAAATCCAATCATTAAATTTTTATTTGTTTATTTATACAGTATTTATAATTATGTGTTTTCTCTAAAAAAATGGATGAGAATTACAGAATCATGAAAAAGGAGTTAAATAATCGACACAATTTATCATTTTTATACTTTAATTTTTTTTAACGAAAATTTATTGAAAGAGTTTAAATTTAATTTTTAGTATGTTGGCGAGACAATCAATGATTAAAATATACTGAATAGATTATAGGTATTGGAATTTTAATTAATTATTTATATATTAAAAATATTTTATTATTAGATTAAAGATCGAAGACAAATATATGTACAGTACATATATATATTTTTAGTGTAATTATTTATTTTTATTGAAGATATAAGCTCATTTTTAACATTAGTATAAATATAATTAATCATGAAATAAAAAATGAATAAGATAAAATATATAATTGATACTTACTATTAGTTATATGAGAAAAAGATTCTGTTAGTTCTTTAAGTTCTTTTTTCAAAATTTGGTTCATTTACAGATTTTGGAAGATTTGAAAATTAAGTCTACTAGTGTAAATTGCTTGTGTATGTGTTTTATAATTAAGTGTTGTATCAGTTGTTTGATTATTAGAAAATTCTTTAACCTCTTTAATTTGAAATGTAATTTTATTACTATATCTATACTCATTTTCACAGTAATCACAATCGTATTTATGTATATAAAATTTCATATAATTCTTTAAAAGTGAGTCGACAGGTAATTCGAGAATCCCAGCATCTCATTATCATTTGTGTAATTAATTTAGGAATTTTTTGGCCTTATCCATTACATATTTTCAAAGCTAGATCATTATTATACGGTGACTATTTCATAAGCAATAATTGCAAATGAGTAAACATCGGCCGCCTTTGTATATTCTTCCTTCTCCTAATACTCTAATACTTCAGGAACTATATAGGATAATACTCCAAAAACATTTCTCCTTTGGGTATTTTCTATATTTTTCTCAATTATTTTACTTTAACCCGAAATCTGAAATATATAAATCAAATTCCAGGGTGGAAATTGTATGTAATATATTTAATTCGTGAATTGCTGTAAAATTTCCCTTAAATAAAATAATTTATAAGATCAATTAATACTATTAAAATTATTATTTAAATAATTTCTAAAATTTCCACCTTTTAGATATTCTAAAACCATCATGTACTTGTGAGTTTCTGGACCTTTTGTAATTCCAAAAGGAAATGGTGTATATGTGCTTAAATAAAGTTTCATATTAAATTAGAATATTATTTTCATCTCATTTAAGAAGTCTTTACTCATATCTTCAATACCATCAAACTTTTTTAATACCTCTTCCAATTAATAATTCCTTTTCCATTGTTGAGTTTTAATATCCCAATTTTTAATGAATCCATCGATCCACTTAGCATAATAAATATTACTAAAACCACCTTTCGCTATTTCTTTAATACCTTCAAATCTATCATAAGGTATCCATTCTATTACTTCATAATTATAATCTGCATTTAGTCGAGCATCTTGAATAAATTTATCTATCACTTCATTTCCACTTGTCCATTTATCAAAATTATTTTTGAAATGTGTTGAGTTGCACGGTTTGCACCATTTCCAATTATCATTTTCATGATAGCATTCTTCACACGTTTTCATTTTTTATTCACTTATAATATGTAAGGTAGAAGTTTATTTTTTTTTAAAATATCGATAAATAAATTTATATCTGGATTGTAACTAAAATAAATAAAATGTTACAAATAAAGGGACTTCGATGATCATATAATTTTTTGAGTACTACCTCTTATGAGGCTTGGTTTATTTAATAATTTCTTTCGAAATTGGTAAGCAGTGATCAAAGTAAAAAGTTAGAGGAAGGTAATAACAAGTTGAGTTCTAAAGAGAGTTGAAATTATAGATCATTTAGTATTAAAATTATTGAACATTTATTATTATTGATTTTATTATTCTTAAATAATAGAAAACGAAAAGTATAAATTAATAAAATGATACATTACAAAGAAAACGTTTCTAGGTAGGAAATAACATTTGGAATGTGTTTATCAGATTAGTAATAGAAATATTATAATATTATTATTAACCTGAAACCCAGAGCAATCTACATATGATTATTGTATTAAACAAGAGTTCAGGGTCAGAGGCATTTTTATTAGTTTAAATTTAGTAATAATTGAATTCTAAATTAAGTTAAAAATCATAATAAATTAATTAATTAATAAGTAGTATATATTTTCTTATGTACTTGGGTTTGAATTTCGGATACTTTTGTAATTATTATACTCTTATCTGATTTCTTTCTTGGAGATGAAATATCTGAATTGATTATAGATTCCAAGATAAAATCTTTATTGTTTTTCGGGTTTCTTTATTATTTTATTTATGCCTGATATATTAAAAATAAAAATGATGCACATATGAAGTTAGAAATTTCTTTCGTTAAAGATATTTACGTATTATTTATAGAGTATATAATAGAGAACATTTGGCTAGATATGTAATAGTCAGACAATTCCGGACAGCAAAGTTAACAGCTTATAAAAATATTTCATATTTATTCATTATTTATATTAAATCTAAACAATATTTTTCAAAAGAAACCATCAGATAATTATCACAAATGTGATCATCAAAGGATTGTCACATAGAGCATCTTAAGCCTTTACTTATTATGATAGGACTCCCATATGCTTATAATTTTTTTTTTTGTTTTTCAAGTCTCCAATTAATAAATTACGTAATATGATTTTTTGTATAAATTTAGATGCGATGTAATTTTATTTAATTTTTGTTTGTTCAAGCCTCCAATTAGTAATTGATTTTTAATAATGATTTATTGTTTATTAACTTTATTACATTTAGTTTTTTTTTAATTTTTTCATGTGAAATTTTTTGATTATAAAAAATTTTGCATTTTTTTAGATTAGAGGACTTGACAAAAGTAATTTATAGAAATAAGTTAATTATTATTTTATTAGCTCATTTTTACATTCAAATCAGAGGCTTGACAAAAATAATGGTTTGAATTTATTTTTTGTTATTTGAGCATTCACATATCACAGTGAAACTGCATCTTATAACCTTTAGACATGATGCAGATTCACAAATGTAATTTTTAATTTTTTGATTTTGAATTTTGAATCGAATTTTTTTTAATTGAATTTGATTTTGAATTTTTGACAAATGTGATTAATAATCATGGTAAAGATGTGTTTTATACATATAGTCTTTACCATTATATGGATCCACAAATGTGAATCTTTTTTAATATTTTTGATTTTGAATTTTGACAGGTGTGATCAATAATCATGGTAAAGATGTGTTTTAGACATATAACCTTTACCATTATATGGATTCACAAATGCGAATTTTTTTTTAAGAAAAATGTACCAAATTTATAGTTTTTAAAAAAAAATGTATTTAATTATATACAGTATTAATGATTAGATTTTGCATATGATTTATTTTACATAATATTGTTAATGCATATCAAATATTGAATTTGTAATTATATTAAATTTGTAATAATGATATTACTAATTAATAATTATAAAAGAAACCGAATGTATAACATTAGGAAATTTTATTAAGAATGCATTTTTTACCATTTGTTTCGATTTCTCTCGCGAATTTTGAGGCACAGAGCGATTTTCTACTAAGATATTTCTAAGATAGATAGAATGTCATTATTCTTGGCTACAGATTAGTGTGTGTTTCATTCCTGTAGCATCCGGAGATCGTACGGTTTAAAGAAAACCATTTGCATGAAAAATTATTACAAAATTTTAATTTTCACACGATATTTTCACAAATGGTTTACTTTAAACCGTACGATCTACGCGAATATCGATGCTACAGGAATAAAATAAGCACCAAATCTGTAGCTAAGAACAAGGCCGTTCTATTTATCTTAGAAACACTTTAGTAGAAAATTGCTCTGTCCCTTAAAAATCGGGAACGAAATCTAATAAAGAATTAGTAATCTTATTTTTTAAAAACAATGCTTCATTGTAATATAAAAAATTATACACTAGTATAATATTCTTTGATTTCTTACCTTGTTTAATAGGAAATATTTTATTTTGGAAAGTTGGCAAAAATACTTTATTAATTTTTTTTTAAAAAAATTAAATGCCGCGCGCATGTAATAAAATATCTCATTGTAAATGTTTTTTTTTAGTTAATAAAAATTAAATAAACAAAATAAAATTATCGTTGTAAATTTTTTAAAGCTAATGATTACTATGTAAGGGAAATTGTTGCTAGAAAATTTTAATTTTAGTTCTGAGTAAAGATCTGCCGCACTTTACACAACTATTACCAATTACAGAAAGTTGCAAAAAACTAAAACCAACCTTGTAAAACCTATTACGGCAGGCAAACATATTTACATATTACAACTGAGTTAAGTTAAATTAGGGTTTGTAATACGTTATTATTTACTTACGGTAAAGAAATAAAAAACAAAATTTTAAACTAGAAATTCCGAAGCATTATTTTTGACGCCTTTTTTTTTTTTTTTTTATAAATTGATACCTTTTTTTTTTTTTGAATTCGTCGATGCTAAAATATTTTAATATTCACAAAAAGCACAAATATTCATATATATATGTATATAAAATATTCATAAATAAATAATATATTACTAAAAATATTCATAATTATGATTAAAAAGGATAAAACCAAAAATAAAAATGATACTGATAAGGTTCATCTTGCTGGTGAATATGACAAGCCTAATACTGCCTCGTCTATGTACGGTCATGGCATCGATTTATTAAATGCAGTATCGGCAGGTGGCGATATCATTACACCATTCTTACCTTTATTCGGTATTGTTTCAAGCGTTGTTGATGCATTGAATATAATATATCAAAACGCAAAATGCAATAAAGAAATATGTTCAGCTTTATTGGATCGTGTTGAGATTGCTCAACAAGCTACCAATTCTTTACAACGTAAAAGAAATGAAAATGAAAAAAATTTTATCAATCAAGAATATTATAATTCATGGGTTAGATTTACTTACGTATTAAAAAATATTAAAAATTTCGCTAAAGATGTAACGCAACAACAATCAATATTTCGAAAATATATGAATGCTAATGCTGTTAAAGCAGCATTTGATAAAAATATTAAAGAATTTGAAGAAGCATGTAGAGACTTACAATTTTCAATGATTATTTATTCTGTCGAACAAAGAGAACGAGATAATAAGCAAATTATGGAAGATATTTGTATGGTCTATAAGGTATTAGGTTCATTATTAAGTTTTTAATTGGTAATTTATTTTTTTGATCTTTTTTTAACTATTTTTAACTATTTTTTAATAAATAAAATATTGAATTATTGTAGACAATAAACGAAGTTTCAGATGATGTAAGAATAATTTTGAAGGAAGTAATTATTTTATCTTCCAATATGGAACAATTGAAAGCTCAAATATCAAAACCTGGTGGAGGTTCTGCTTCCGCGAAAACTTTATTAAATGAGTCATATAAGGTTCAAACTATTCACCCTTCTGAACTTAAGGAACCAGATAGTGGATCTGATAATGTAAGAGGAAAGCATCAAACTGTTAGGAAAAGAATCTATCTTACAATGGATGTTGCGTGTAAAAAATTTCTAACCATTGAGAAAAATGATACAGCAGATTCTCAAAAAGATCAAACAGAATTGGCAATCCTCAGCTTATTAGGAAAATGCCCCCGTATTGTTTGTTTTCATGGTCTTTCAAGTATAGAACAAGATGATGTTATGGTTTTTGAATGGGCTTCATATGGAAATTTGAAAAAAGTTTATACAGATTATAAAATTTCTTGGACTAAAAAATTACAATTTATCTCAGATATATTTTGTGGTCTTAATTTTATAAATAATTGTGGAATTCTTCACCACGATGTTCGGTGTGAGAATATTTTGGTAAGTAAAAAACATCAAATAATATTTTATAATCTATAATCTAAAATACTCATTTATTTACATATAGATCACTAAAAATTGGGGAGCAAAAATTTCAAATTTTAAAACGTCACGTCAAGTTGAAGCAGATACTAAGCCACGTTCAAACTTGATTGATTATGTTCGTTGGTTAGCTCCCGAAAAACTTCGTAATTTAGAAACCCGTTACACCCATAAGTGTGAAATGTTTAGGTAATTTTATTTTGTTTTTTTTTTTTTTTTTTTGATACTTTTATTAATACTTTATTCATGATTATTAAATAAATATCTCATAATTTGAAAATTAGTTTCGGGATGTTGGTTTGGGAACTTTGTTACCAAATGATACCATATGAAGACAAGACTTTACAACAAATACAAGATCATGTTAAAAACAAGGGAAGGGAAAATTTGGGAATTCAATTTCATCCAAGTCGAATTGCGCGAGAACTTGCTATGCTTATTAATCAAGGTAATAAGTTTAATAAATTTAATATATTGGATTACGAGATCATCATATTTACAGTATTACGTATTTTATTTAATAATTTTAGCATGGAATGATAATCCGGAGTTACGTCCATCATATCCTGAAGTTCATTCGAAAATCAAAAATTTAGAAATATATATATCTAAACAATCCCCACGAATTTTCCCAAAAGATAAAACCAATAATGACATTCCAAGTATTGACTCGGATCAACAAAGCGATCAAAAATCCGATAAAGATCCCTCTATCATTGTTGATATTGACCTTCTTGAACCCAATGAAATGGATGCCTATGAGCTACCACATGCCAAAATTCCAACAGTTAAAGTCTTAAAACCATTTGAGGATGGAGTTAAAGCATCTAAAGAACGTCGACATAAGGAAGCTTGGGAATGTTTTAGTGAACATGCTAATTTAGGACATAGTTTAGCAAAATATTATAAAGGTTTTTATCTTGAGAAAGGATACGTAGTAAGAAATGTAGAAGAAGGTAAAAAATGGATAAAAATTGCAGCGGACGAAGGTGTCCCGGATGCACAACTTCGGTATGCAAATATGTTAAGGAAAGACAGTAAAAATAGCTCAAATAGTTCTAAAAATGACGCGAGTATTTTATATTATTTGAAACAAGCGGCAGATATGGAAAATGAAGCTGCTATGTATTATCTCGGAGAAATTTATTGTGATGGAAAATATGGAACGCAAAAAGATGAAAAAAAAGGAATTGAACTAATTAAATTAGCAGCCTTGAAAAATCATCCTGCCGCAATAGATTTTATGAATAAAACCAACATAACTTATTAAAAATTCCACCTGAATAAATATTTATGTATTTTAATATTTTAATATTTTAATATTTTAATATTTTAATATTTATCTGTATTTTAGGATTTCATTTTCAATTTTTATTAATACCAATAAACTATTCAATATCCAACATACAAAAAATTAAATTAAGACTTCAATAAAATACTTTTTCATTGTATTTGTTCGTTAAAAAAGGGAATAAATTAAAAATGATAATTTGGGTCGATAAATCCTAATGATTTTTTTTTTAAAAGATTTATTATTTACCACCAAAAAAAAAAAATTATTTTGCATCACTGCAATGATGTCATTTGTATAATATTTTATTTTAATCGAAGAATAATAATTTAGATGATTTTATTATTATCATCATCAGTGTCGTAATTATTACAATATGCTAATATATGTTTATAATAAACTTTTAAACTTAAAACCAATTATAAATATATAATATATGCAATCTTTCATAATTTTAATATCTTCAATACTCAATTAAAAATATTTATTTTATATATTTTTAACAAAATATTTCTGGCAATTTTATAATAAACTATAATAAAAATTGAATTTAAAAAGTAAAGAAATAAATTAAGTGAGGTATAAAAACAATAAAACTGAATGACAAATTGGGTCGATAGTTTAACACTTCACGATGAGAATATTTTTAAAACTGAAGTTGGCTTATCCATTTTTCCTTCGATGTTAACTGTATGGTTTATTACATAAGTATTAACTGTACTGTATAAATAAATAAATAATTAATTGAGAATTTTCCTTTTCATTTTTTGGTGATTGGATGGATGCTATAAATTCAAAAAAAAAAATTGTCCTATTGGTTTTTTTTTGATTCTTTATTCATTGAAGAGAAACGATTAAGAATCATATTAACAAAATTTAATTAATTTTAGATTAAATTTAAAATATAAATTAATTTAAATTAATAAAAAAGAAGCCTACAAAACTTAGGTCATGTTTTAGACGATTTAATTATAATATTTATTAAATTGCCTAAAGATAATATTTTTTAGACGATTAATAGACGATTGATCTAAAAAATATTATTTTTAGACGTCAAAAAAAATATTATCTTTAGGCGATTAATTATTATATCTTTAAAAATTATATTTTTTTTTAGATCGCCTAAAAATAATATTTTGTCTATTAGTTATGACATATAAATTAAATAAATAAATAAAAAAAAAAAGACTAAAAATTGAATTTTTTAAAATATGTACAAAACTATCTCTTTTGAATATTTATTAAAAAAAATCTTTGAATTTGTTCGAAGTATCAAAGAATTTTAATATGTAACAAGAGGTCTAGATTTGGGGTGCTTTATGCTTATGACATTTAATTTAAATAAAAAGATTTAAAAATTGATTTTTTTAGAATATGTACTTGTATTTGTCATTGTATGTCTTCAAAATTATAATGAATTTGAAAATAAATATGTAAATTCTTTCAGACAATATTTATGCTGTATGAACCCAAAGATTTATATATAAGCAAAATTCTTAATTTTTTCAGATATAAAAAGAAATTTCTAGAATAAATTTTATTTAAAAAAAAAAATTATCATTATTTTATTTTATTATGTTTATGTAGTAATCTTTAATTATTGACACATTAAGATATGTAAACACATGAATTTCTGGAATTAATGGGAAACTCATTTCGATAATATTTTAATTCAATATTTAATATATTAATGCTGAAAGTCTAAAGGTTGATTGTTATTAATTATCCAATGTCTATATTGAATATTTTAGATATGCAGAAAATTTCATTTGAATTTTTGAAAATTATGGAAAACCTATTTTGATAATTTGTCAAATATTAAATTTATTTACAATCTTATTCAATAAATAATTGAATTCATTGTAAGATTTTATAAAATATAAATATAAATTATCTCTATACAAATTAGATTAATAGAATTTATACAAATAATTATAAAGAATATTAAGATCATTTTATTTGTATTTATTGTTTAAAATCATCAATATCATCATTGAAATAAAAAAATTTATCATGAAATGAAATGAACAGAATAAAATATATAATTGAAACTTTTAATTCTTCAAGCTCTTTTCACAATTTGGTTCATTTACAGATCTTGGAAGATTACAATGGGGAAGGAAAATATCTATCAATGTTATAGATAGAATTTATAAATATAATTCAGACATATTAAATAATATTTTCTTTTGTATTGATGTAGGTGGGATTGAAGCCTATCAGTAAGAAAGGAAACTTTCTTATGGTGGTAGGTTAGGCCGTAGTTGTTAATTATTAACTTAACATGTTTAGGTTATTATTAATGTATATATATTTATATATAGCTTAGTCAGATTTTATTCTTCATGTATTTCTTTATTGAATTATTATTAATGAATAAAGTCGAGACCTCACCGGTCCAATTAAATTACAGATCTTGGAAGATTTAAAAAATTAAAAAAGCTTAATATAATTTAATAATTATAAAATATTTCCATATCCCATTTAAATTCATCAATATCATCTAAACTGTAATTATTACTATCATTCGATAAAGGAGAAGTAGAATTGGTATTTTAAACATAATTGAATAATAACATAAATAATAAATAAAAAAATAAATAAAATAAAATAAAAAATAAAATAAAATAAAAATAAAATCTTAAAATATAACCTTGATTTATCTTTATTTTTTTTGTTCCTCTTTCATTATTTATTCAACCGAGATTTCAATGAATTTTTAAATGATGATAGAATTTGAATTTGTTCCTTTTTATTATTGAATTAGTTCTTCTAAATTTTGAAACTGATTTTCGGTTTCAGATTTCCTCAGCATTTCTTTGATGTCTTTAATATTATTAATATTATTAATATTATTAATCTTATTAATCTTATTCAACTTCAGTTTCGTTTTCTCGTCTTTCTGATGTTGCTGATTATCATCCCATTTTAAATAAATTATTAATTATTAATTGACATTATTTATATAGTAACAAATATAAAGCAATAATAAATAAAGAAAACTCGATGAATCTGCTTTCCCCTATTTAATCAAATCATTATAATTTCTATAACTTACCAAGGATATTTATTCACTCAATCCTTTATTATATATCCTTCTCCCTATTATTTAAATATTAATTGATTTAATAAATATAATTTTTAAAATAAATAAAATATTAAATATATAATTAGTAAATACTAATATACTATTTATTTCCTTTTACTTAATCTAATTCCTTCCTTCCTTATCATTCGAGCATTTTCCAACTTTTGATTTCTCAACATCGCAAGTTTTCTCCTTCATTTTCTCTATCAACAAATTTTTATTTTTTTTATTTATATTATTTTCTCGGGTTGATTTATTTTTTGATGATTTATTTTATAATGATGAACTTGTGGTTTTATAGTATTATGCATTTTGACTTCCTAATTGATTCTAATAATAAATAATAAATTGAATAAATTAAATATAAACACATATGAACACACGATCCATTCATTAATAAATAATAACAAATAACAATAACATTAATATGACACGTAACTTTCGTGTTAATTCACCAGCCAAACATTTTCATCTCTTGACGTATTTCTCTTTTTTTTAGTTTCTTTAAAAAATTGTTCAACTTGACTTGTACTGCTTTTTATTTCTATTTGATTGATTGGTTTTTGATTTTTATTGTAGATAGGTAATTGATGGTACTGATAATAAATTTATTAAATATATATTATTTTCAACAGATGATAATAATGCTTTGATGTACCTCGGCAGTATTGTTTATATTCCCAACATCACTTTTAACTCATAATACGCTCAAATCTTTTTTTTTTTTTTTAAGAAAAAAATAAAATAAAATAAAATAAAATGAAAAAATAAAAAGAATGAGTAAAATAATCCACAAATATCCCAATATAGAATGCAATATTTTATGTATGCATTCACCTTGACAATCATGCAATAACTTTGTGTATTATACTCCCCAGCATCATTTAGTATTTCAAGATTACCAGAGAGATGTGTGTGCTTTACCGATTGCTGTTTTGAATGATCTGTTAAGTTAATAATCCATCAGTAAAGAAAAAAATATGGTTCAATTGATCTCTTTTCGTTCAATAATCATAGTTTCCCAAAAATCTTTTATACACTGTTCTTTTATCTGTTGAGTTTAACATAAAATTAACAATATGATCAAATTATACCAAACACAATCGCTTTAAATATTTTTTGGAAAGCAGAACAGGTACGTGAGGGTAAATTGATAATTTTATCACGATTTAGAATCAAAAAAATCCGCGTTCAACCAAGTTACTAGGATCACAGTTTTCTAAATATGTTTTAGGACTATTGAAAGCAAATCGTGATTAATACATAAGGAAGAAGAATTATTTCTAATCGTGTATAATTAATACGCTTGTACAGCCAGGATAAGAAATTTCGGTATTAGTCATACTGCAAATTTGTTTGTGGGATAATATTCTGCGCCTCTGTCACGTATTAACATCACAAGAATTAATTTTTTGCAGTGATTTCGGCTTTGATTTTGCCGATTTCTGCAGAACATGGTAAAAAGAAACATATGGTAACGATCCCCATACACAAAGGAACATTTTTTCATAATTACACGGGGTTGCTCCCTTGGGTCTAGATATTGATAATATTAGATATTATTATTAATGTATATTTCAATTAATAAGGGAGGATATTTATAAATATATTCATTTTTTACGAATTTTATGATAAAGCTAAAACCACCTAAATAATTGATTAATTAAAGGATTAATATGACAAAATATTATTATCAAGGAGTTTTTCTACTGAAATTTGTGTTGATATACTGTATTAATCATTTAAGAGGTCAGAATCAAAAAATCGATTATGACTGCTGAAATTTTATATGCATGCGTAACATTAAAGAAATTCAGTTACCTACTAATTATTTAACCCATCAATTGGACTTAAAAATAAGAAAATTCTTTTGTCTCACGAGGGAGAAGTT